AGAGTATTCATTACCCTGCAGTATTGCTACTTAAGTGAAAGATTCATTCATTCATTCATCTTCTAACCCCTTCATCCTCTTGAGGGTCGCGGGGGGGCTGGAGCCTATCCCAGCTGACATCGGGCGAGAGGCAGGGTACACCCTGGACAGGTCACTATCGCAGGACTGACACATAGAGTCAGACAACCATTCACACTCACATTCATACCTATGGGCAATTTAGAGTTATCAGTTAACCTAGTCCCCAATCTGCATGTCTTTGGACTGTGGGAGGAAGCCGGAGCGCCTGGAGAGAACCCACGCTGACACGGGGAGAACATGCAAACTCCGCACAGAGGGACTCCCACACCCAGGATCGAACCGGCAACCCTCTTGCTGTGAGGCGACAGTGCTAACCGCCACACCACCGTGCCGCCCCTAAGTGAAAGATCTGAATACTTACTCCACCACTGGTTACTTCTAATTTTCCACTAAAAGAGCTCTCCTCTACGTGTTTGTATACCTGTCTCTCTGTGGTCTGCCAGGTGCACCTGACAGCTGCTGACACACAAACTCAGAAACATGTCGGTGCAAATGCAGACATGACAGGGGCAGAATCTCCATTTTAAAGAGCATCTACACATTATCAGTGTTTTCCATCCATCACATGCTACTACAGTCTTTATTAATAATACTACTGTTGCTACTTTTGTGATTATGACTGTCAAATACATATTGTAATGTACTGTAATATTATACACACATACTGCTCAGTAATGGTAGCACATGTAATACACAGCATGACTTCATACAAATTAAACCCCTTTCCACTTTTCTGACTATTCCTACTACTTCACCTCCATCTTAGACATTAAAGCAAGCATTTCAGTGTAGCGTCAGCTTTTCAAGCAGCCTTGAAATATTCAACAGTCTTGGTCTCATTCAACTATTCATTGACATTCATACACATTAAAACCAGCATTGCAGTGTAGTGTCAGATTTTCAAGTACCTTGAAATATTCAACAGTATTGGTACCATTCTATTTTTCAATAATATTCAGAGTAATTAAGCTCATTCCCAGCTTTCTGTCTATTCCTACCTTCTTCTTACACATTACAGCCAGCACTGCAGTGTAGCGTAAGCTTTTCATAACACCTTCAAATATTCCTCACATTCATACATGCATGGCATTATTCAACCTTTCAAGCTAGCATTGCAGTGTAGTGTAAGCTTTTCAGACAGCCTTCAAATATTCCTCATCATTCATACATGCATTGCATTATTCAACGCTTCAAGCGAGCATTACAGTGTAGCATAAGCCAGGGGTGTCCAAACGTTTTTGAATGGGGGCCAGATAAAACAACGTGAAAACACCTGGGGGCCAACTGATTCTTGCATCAAAAGTTGTTTTTGTTTTTTTTGTTTTTTTAAAGTGAGATAAATTCAACCATTTTTATCTTTTAATGAGCTATTACTACTTGATGCCTGTCTACAATGTAGTGTATGATAGTCCTGTCATTGTGAGGTGAAGGGTAAAAATGCCAAGTGATCTTGCTCGATTAACCATTATTGTGTAAAGGACCACATATGGTATGATTAAAATTGGCCCTGGGCCAGACTTTGGACATGCCTGGCTTAAGCTATTCAGCTTTCGCATTCACACTCGCAGTTTCTTCAGAAATTGCATTCTCTAGTTTGCACTTGTGCTTCTCTTACTTTGGCAAAATGTTGCTGTGGTTAACCCATTTAGTTGTAGCTTTTGACTTGGCGATGGAGTAAAGGTAATTTGTAAGATGAGGCAGGCCACTTAGCAAACAATGTGTTGTTTTTTTTTTTTTAGAAACAGTCTAGGTGTGGTCAGGTGAGTCAGGAGGAAAGGCCGGAGGACACTTTGTAGCCACGCAATAGTGGTAGGTGGTAGAAGCCCTACTGTTTGTATTACCTATTTTGGCTTTACCATATATACTTATCAGATGTGCTAAGCAATGACTCCACTTCTAGTTAACCATTTGTAGGTCGTCTGACGTGGAACTCAATTAATTAAAACACTGTCCGTCTCGATAGGTTCAAGTTAGACTGTCTTTGTGTACTAGGGCATTGTTTCAGCGGACAAACACCGGCGAGGGATTTTAAGTCTGAATAGGACTGAACCAAGTCTGGCAATTTTGAGGGGGGATGTTCACGTTACCTCGTCATCACAAGCCGGTGACTGTGTTGAATTTATGGGTGTATTGGAGACTAAGACAGAGTTTGACGCAGTAACTATACATTTAGCTCTCGGTTTTAAAGTTCCTAGTTGAAAAAGTAGAAACCTCACATCCCTCCGCGAAAATGGTTTCTCCCCCGCTGTCCGGTTGCGCGTGTGGACTATTTTGACTGGCATGCTGGCGAGCAGAGACTCAAACGGGTTTGTCGAGTTACTGAACGGGTGAGTGAACAACTTTGGCCAGACTTTGTCAAAGTTTTAAGCTGTTATTTCGCTTCATGTAGCTACTTCTGAATTTAAACCGAAGATTTGTCGTCACCTCAGATGTAAACTTAAGTCAGCTTAATGAAACTCATTGACAGGTTGACAAGCTCGCAGCCAACCGTTGGTCGTCACTAGTCAACATTTAAGCTAGTCGACAACAGACAACAACACAAGAGGAGTTTATATAAGGGACAAACGTGCCCTGTGTCGCTTTGAGATGTGAGCTTGTTCAGCAGAAAAGCCCGCTGAAGTAATTACAGATTCCCAGTCTCGGGTGAATGAGCTTTTCTCGTCTATTGAGCAACAGCAGGGCAGCTTGTTGTGGCACATCTCTTTTTCTTGTGCTTTCTCATGTGTAGAAACTTGAGGAATATGAGCATCGGTAGTTTTTTGCCACATCTGTGTTATAACACAGGGGTTTCCAGTGTCTGTCATGTTGCCAACTTCGAACCTATAATTTTGTGTCTTTTTTTACTGAATGAAGGCGGAGATACATGCAGTATTATGGGTCCCAGAGTGCAACAGCTGTGTAGTTGTGTATGTACATGCACGACTGACTGTGCAAAGTCCTACTAATTGCATGCACATTTTTCTCCTTTTCTCTGCCTTCATTTTCCTTTAGCATGGGTGGATTATGAGACAGTGGGCCCCTGGGCACAGACATGCAGAAGGCCCCACCACCCTTTTTACATAGAGGCAAGACATAGTGCGATTACATGGACATGAATAACCTGTACATGAGGTTATTTTGGTTATGATCATATTTAGGATATGGTGTTTCCATGAGCACAGAAATATTGGGTTATTCATATTCCTTGTAAACATTGTGGTTTCTTTCACAGTACTCCAGCTAGTGTATTCTCATAAACTGAGTATGGTGTTTACATGCTCAAACACATAAACAGGATGGTCCAAAAACCTGATCATACATGGGCTATCCATGTCCATATAAACACATTCACTGACATAATAGTTGTTAAGCCTCTTTGTAGTGCTGTTTTGCATCTTTTTGTGGTTGTCACAGATCTTTCTGTTGATCTTGATGTTTGCTTTGGGTCGCTCTGTGGTCATTTTGTGACTCTTTGTGGTTGTTTCATGTTTCTCTGAGGTAATTTTGAGTCTCCACCTGGCCGGTACTTGTCTTTATGAGTGATATTTTGCCGGTAAAGACCAGGGAGCCCCTGACACTTCTGGGCCTGTGCCCGGTAGGCCAGTTCAGTAATCTATCCATGCCTGTTAGTAGTTTGTTAGTATTCTGTGTCTATGCTTTTTGTGTATTTTCCATTATAATATCTGCTTTGCTCCATAAATAATTTATAACTTTTGCTTATTTTGTGCTAAAATACAGAAATACAGGTCCGCTTCTTTTAACCGCTCTATTCTCTCCATACCCCCTTTTTCCAGAGGCAGAATGTGATGCCTAACGGTTAACATGAGGGTATTGAAATACAAGTAATTCTGCTGCCATGTTTACTGTAGCTCTGTGCCTCCCTGCTCTCTCTATTGTTTTTTTTCCTCAGCACTCTGGGAACTGATTTCTGTGCAGTTGCTGAAAGCTGTCAGAGTGGACAGATTCCTTTACACCCTTCCCTTCACTTTACCCTTATACCTCACCCTCGTATCTGCTGATAAGTGCCCTCTGTTTTATCCACTGGAAAATGTCTACAAATTTAAGTGATGTCCCGCTGTGTGGACAGGCATGCATTCCCTGTGTCTAGATTATACTGCTCATTAGTGCACTTCCATTGTACTTATTTCCTTGTTTGAGGGAGCAGTGTTCTCTAATTAACGTGTAACCCAACTTAAACTCACATTGAACCCATCTGTGCTCTGATATCCCCTTCTTTTTTTTCCCCAGCATATTTTATTTGGCAATAGTGTAGCTCAACTCTGACCCCCTGTCAGGATGGGTTTGGTGTTACTCCCACCCCCATAATATCCTGCCCTGGCTGTACAGTCTCAGAGCAATTCTTTATTATCAGTTTTCATATCTACAGACATTCAAATAAAGCAAAGAGTCACTACAAGGCTAAATACACAATGTTGGAGAGTGACCAGCCACCCGAGAAATTCAGTGATGCGTAAAGCAATTGTTTGTTTCTGCAGAGTTGAAGCAGAATTTAAATCACACAAAAAGAGATAGGCAACAAAAAAATATATGGAATAGTAAACGGACCATTAAGGAAAGTGTAACATGATCGTGGAAGCTCCAGGTAATGAAAACCGTATGTTTGAGAGAAAAGGGGGGAAAAGCAGATGCGTGCAGTAGATTGTTGCAACAGGGCCCAAAAAGTACCGGCACAAAGGAAGGATTAACATTGATGGTGGTAGAGGGACATTTTTGAACCATGCAGTCATTTAGTGTGTTGGCTGATATTCAGAGCTGCGCCCTGCTTTATGTATGCTGCTGATATCATATTCACTGAAGACCAGAACCAGAAAGATGTCACCTCCACCCAGAGCAGAAGTCTGGGTCACATACTCACGCGTTCATGTGTGCATAATGATCGGAATATGCTCACGTTGTATGTTGTCATTTTCACATGACGCAGGGCACTCTCATTAAAAACACGCCACCAACTACTTGTACCTGTGATGTGGTGGATACTTCTATCTTAAGCTCTTTGCAGTGAGTATGAGTGCATGGTGTGTGTGGTGTTGGTGGAGGAGCCTGGGAACTGAACTCCAAGCTTGTAGTGGTTAAGCTAAAGTTGACTTTAAGGGGAATTTTGCTTTTCTGACTAACCCATAATGAGACAAACTCTTGTATGCCTCTGTTTGCAGTCTGAGGGTATGTCAAATGGTGAGCTTTAGCCCAATTAGTTTGTGGGATGTCTGAAGTATCTGAGTAGCAGTTCTCCACATAGATATATGGGAAATGCTCCTTTGCACTACAGAGTGTTACACCCACAGCAAACCCTCCACCCTCTGATCATTTCACAGGAACACACAAAGGCACACCACTATTATGCACTACTGCTGTGGGTACTGTAAACAGGAAGTAGATCTGACGCTAGATGTAACCTTAACTATTTTTACTTGTTTGAACTTTGAACTGAAATTAGTAGTTGGCCCAGATGTTCATCTTTGGAGAGAAGCTGCTCCCATAGACATCCAATAACTGACATAAATAAACCAGGCAAAGCTAACTTTTCAGCATGCTCTCAAACAGCTGGCTGGATCATGATTCAATATTGTCATTTACTGTGTCTCCAAGTAATTGATTATGATATATCTGGATACTGCTTTAAGTCAAGTAGGAAGCAAAGTAAATCATGGTATCTAATGTTATTTTCTGGAAAGTCAATGAATAACCCGATAATGAATAAAACAAATAAAGAATAATGGTTGTTTTTTGGCGAATGCAGTGACTCAAATACCTGAAAAATATCTTTGTTTTGGCACGTTATTGCAAAAATCTATTATTTTCACACAAAGTCCTGCTCATTGATCTGTATCATGGCCTACAGTGGCCTCATAAATCCAAAGATATTAAAGAGAGAGCCACCAGCATGATATCAACGGTACTGCAAAACCTCAAATGCTCCAAAAAATTGTCATCTCAAGGCAGTCAATTGCTCATCCGAAAAAGGAAATTTAAAAATTTAAAAATCCATTGGTTTAGAGTCGTCTCCCTCTAACTGTGAGATATGTGGATATAGTTTCAGATCAGCTGTTTTTTTTAATGGCCTTTTATGATGTCCAAAGAGCAGTCGTTAAGCTGAATTTATAGTTGCCGATTGTGTTTTATTTATCCCCAGTCTCAGTGGATAAATAAAACAGAGTTTTTATTAGTCACTAATGAATATCTGGATCCAATTTTGTTGAATCCCAAACTTCACTGATGTTTGTTTTTTATGACTCCTCTGATCAAGGTTTATGACATCACCGGGACATGTCCTCTCCAGGTCTTTGATGAACGTTTATATGCAGTTGTTGCACATTACTGAGGACAGATTTCCTGACTGAAGCAAGGGCCTTTAAATGCACACAAACACAGAGGAACCAGCATGCTTCCTCCAAACCCACCATATGACATACTCTGACTGTGAACTCTGACAATGCATCATTCTGTCCCCGGTCATGAATATTCATCTCACTGGTGACACTGCACCATCTGACTCTGACCACAGTTCTCATCACAAGCAGTAGCCACAATGGAGCTTTCATGAGTCTGGACAAAATGACCAAATCTCTTAAATCCATGAGTCATTGCCATTCTCAAACTGATGGACAGCAGGCAACAATGGGTTCATGGGATCTTTAACAAAGCAATGTTTGAAAAAATTGTAGTGTAGACCCTGTTGACACTTTTATCCTGATCCAAATACAGATAACATTTAATGCAAAGTGTAAATGAGACCTGAGGGGAGAAGTGGCACAGGCGGTTGTCATATGTACAGTCAACATTTGTTTCATCACTACACAGGTTCAAATGTGTGCAAGGCAAGCAGTAACATGACAAGAGCGTTCAGATTCCAAAGACATCTGCTGGCATTTTTTCCGTACCTGTAATTCACTCACTTCCCATTGCCCCGCCTCCCCCCTCCTTTTCCCCTCCTCTCCCAGGTAGACGTATAAGCACCATGGTGGGAGTGGAGTGCAGGTCTGAGCAGGTGAGGGTGTGACTCCTCTGCGATTGGTCGACAAAGAGACCGACGGCCGGACAGAGCTAGCCCGTCAGAGAAGAAGAATGGCTCGAAATGTTAACTTTGACCTGAACCACTCACTCATGGAGGCTGGACTGGAGTAAGTGCTTTCTCAGTTCTTCTGTTTGTCTTTCTTTTTCAAGCTGTCAGCTTACCGAGTGCTATTTTACATGAAAGCTGTGAGGGTGAGAGTAAAACAAGGAACCGAGATGACAGGATTAGCTGTGCTCTGATGTCTTATTACAGTTAACAGGAAGGCAGTCCATTGTGCACAGTGTCCCAGGGCTTTCATTTATGTTTTTCTAAATCATGTGACCAACTTCTAATCTACAGTTCATTGTCTTCACAAAAAGACTCATATTTATTTGGTTGAAAGCATGTTTGAATATGTATGTGTGTTTGCATACAGTCTATCTCTGTGAGAGTTTCCATATGAAAACACTACAGGCCTGTTTGGCTACTATGTGGTTCTTTATCTGTGTCAGACTACCAAGTCAAAGGGAACTGGACCTGCTGTATTTTCTTGTTTGTTTCCCTCTTGCTTTATGACCAAAACAGTCAGTCCAGTTGGCTTTGACTCACAGTACATCTAGATAGCGCAGGGAGATGGTCACACAGAAGGCAATCTCAGCTGTTCAGCCCACAAATGAATGAGAACGACCTCACAGACTCCTCCCGGCTGTTTGTTTGCAGTTTCCCCCCATGAGACTACTGGTGACCGAGTCAGAAGGTCATTGTATTTTAATCTGCAGTGTCAGCAGTGGCCAACAGTCCTTAAAGCGCTCTGTCATCTAAACTGTGTTTCTGAGCCTGTATGTTTGTATCTGTTCTCATGTCCATATGTCTCTCTCTGTCAGGAGCCCGATAGATGAGGAAGGTGTTCATGACTCATTCAGCCAGCTGATAGCAGAGCAGAGTCAGAATGGAGGACTTTCTGACGCCTTCGAGCTACAGCAGCTGCAGGGACAACTGGACGATGAGGATCGAGGTACTTGGCGAGCTCATAGATGCATGTCAGCATGACAATGACTTTGTACATGAGCTTGGTATTATGTGAATATAACACTGATATTGTGAAATTAGGCTAGATATCTGGAGTTTGGTTATAGTGATATTGTGACATGGCTTCAATGGTACCCTTTACAAAAATAACTTTGTCATATTTGCTGAAAGTGTCACTATATCCACGCTGTAGTACGTGAGACAGGTAACCTTTGAAAAAATCATGTTCCTCCTCCTCCTCTTCATGCTTCTGATGACATTTCCTAGAATCCCCTGCACTCGAATGAAAGCAACCAATCAGAGCCGAGGAGTCTCTAACACAACTGTCAATTATGCTGGTGAACTGTGATTAAACTGTCAAACTAGGCAACACTGATCAAATATGAATCAAGATTCTGTTACTGCACTGCTAATTTCTCAGCTCAGTTGTTTTTTAGGAACACATTTAAGTCTATTGTTGAGCTGTAAAATGAGATCATGACAGGTCACCATGTTGAAAGCAGTCGAGCCAAAATTAAGCATCGCCCACCGACCAGACCAAACTTTCTCATTTTACAGCTATATAGTGCACTAAATATATATAGACTTAATTTTAGAGTTTAGGTTAGTGTGAAGTTGGGGTGATACAGTACATGTAATATTTTTTTAAGTATTAAGTATTTCACTGCTGAAACGGTGGTCTTTCTATAAAACTGGACTGTTTCGGCAGTCGAAAGACACAAATACTTTTGTAATTGGTGCCACGTGACAAGAGAAAACAAAGGAAAAGGGCTGTGGCATTTGCTTTTGCTCAAGAGATAGAAAACCTACAACTACCAAAATGCACCACATCAATAAACACTCCCAGTGGTGTCTGGCGTAATGCGAGCTTGGCTGTTTTTACACAGGAAACAATATGGCAGCCAGTGGGTAACAATGATCTTGTATTACAGTTAAACAGTACACTAAAATATGTTTCTGAAAACATTTGAGGTGAGAAATAGGCAATGCAGTAACAGAATCTGGTTTCATATTTGATCAGTGCTGCGTAGCTTGATAGTTTGTTTGCAATTCACATGTCGTGATGGACATGATTGACAGCTGTTAGACTTCTCGATTCTGATTGGTTGTTTTCCTCCAGCTGCTGTAGACTCTAGCAAATGCCATCAGAAGCACTATGAGGAGGAGGAACATAATTTATTTCACATACTGTCTCATGTACTATTGTGTGGATGTAGGGACAGTTTCAGCAAATTTTAGTGACCAATAAAATAACCAACCGTAGCTTTAAAGCTACAGATAATTAATTGCTACACTGTATGAACTTCTTTAACTTGATTGAATAACCATTGAATATGTCTTTGTAATTTTTTTGTTTTGTCATCATGTCCATATTACCACCGTCACTTCTTCTGTTTATCCGCAAAATTCTCACATAATAGATATTAAGGTTAAAATTTCACCATATTTAATTGTGCCTGACTTTCCCAGCAGCAGCAGTACTTTTAATTTGTTTTTTCCTTTTATTTCCACAGACAGTGTCGGCTACCTGTCCAGCCCTGGACATGAGTTTAAAGGAAGGAGGAACGTGCGAAGGGACATGGAATTGGAGGATGGTGAAAGACCGGTAGACCCCCTCATAGGTGAACGCTGGTCCTCTGCAACCATGAAGATCCTGTCCTCCATGCCCAGTCGCACGATCGGTGAGTCCTGTAGAAGCCCAGTGAAAATAATGAAGCAAGTGATAAAAGGATTTGTTTGCATGATTTTAATTGGAGCGTGAACTGTTCTGGCGTTACAGGCCACAAGGATGAAAGCTGCTAATTGACAAAAACAAAGTAGTCGTAATTTGTGGTCACAATATTCCTCTCAGATAACTGCTTGACTCAGTAGCAGGGGCATAGCCTTGAGTGAGCCGTAGGACTGAACAGTTTTGTTATTGTAATATTTTAACACCACTTAAAAATCTCAAACTCCTCTGATGGTTGAGAGAACATTTACCTCCCTTGATATGTTGAAACCCATACAACGCCCAGTAAAAATGTGTAGCTGTCTAGAACAAGGCTGTTACATGTACTTCTCAAGAATGTACATTTGGGCGTCACAAAGTTTCACCACACAGGAAACACTGTATGCTAACTGGCATTTGCTCTTGTGCCTTACTGTGCCATACCATCAAAGTAAGGTACTGTGTTTGCATGCTGCACATGATTAGCTTCAGTATGAAAAGTAAAAACAGCCTGTTTCAGCTGAGCAGAGTTTCATGGGGAAGCAGTTTTTTCTGCCATCTTCCTGTCAGCGCTTGTGGGAGGTCAGGTGCCTCGGCTTGGTGTTGAAGATGACTCGATAGCTGTTGCCTGATTTCTTAAGCTGTGCCACTGCCACATGATATATTTACGGGTTTGACATTGGAGCAGGAGATAACTGTTCATCTTTTAGTACTTTCCCTCTAAAAGGAGCCACACAAAGTCATTTAAATCTAAATGTTATGCTCTCTTTTAGCAACGATGATTCTTTTACATGATATCTCTGTTGTTTAATTCTTTAAAAGGCTATTTCTAACATTTATTAACCTATTTGAAGTTAGGTGGAATTACAAGCCTATGCCAAAGAACAATACATTAGGCTTGGCATGCCCCTGTTGCGTGGGGGTCAATGAAACGCAACATCCCTGGTTTGAGTCTAGGAGGAGACCTTTGTTGCATTTCTTTTTTTATGGAAGGTATAGATGACAAATCCTGAAGCCATTGTCAAATTCAGTGTTGGTGCAGCAGCTTTAAGCCAGTAAATGCTGCTTAGCCCATCTTTAAACAGTCTGATCCTCTTTCTCTGTCAGGTCGCAACAGGGGAGCCATCATCTCTCAGTACTACAACAGGACCATGCAGCTTAGGAGGCGCAGGCAAAGCAGACCCGCCATCCGAGATTTCTCTCGCTCTGCCAGACCGAGCATACGAGGCTACGGCATTGAGGCAGACACTACGGACGCAGAGGGCACAGAGGGTGAGGAGAATGATATGCACTGATAAGACACTTGGATAAAAACTCAGCTGTGTTTGACAAGTTTTTAACCTAAGTGCCACTGCCTCTGTGTGTGTTACAGTGACTAAGAGGGAACGTTTGGTGAACAACCTGCAGAACCTGTCAGCGAGCGACAGGGTCAGGATGCTCAGAGCGATGCCTCTCAGTGTGGCAGAGAAGAATGAACTCAGGTAGATGTAGTCTTTGTTTTTATTATTCATCTCCAGACTCAGTGTGTTTCTTACATATCAGTCTGAATCTCTCTCTTTGTCTCTCTGTAGGAGGCTAGCTTTACAAAAGGAGAAACGCACACTGTCTGGCAAACAGATCCCCTGTTGCAGTCGACTCAAATATTACATCATAATTGTGAGTCACTTACACCACTTGAAACGTCTATGTTTTACTTCCTGTATTTTTCTTCCCATGAGAAGATGCTGATGCCTCTGACGGTATCTAGATACTGTACTTGTTTGTCTCTCTAGTTATTCCTTTTATTACCAGCCTCACCTCAAGATCCATTTTGTAGCTCCTCTGCAACTTTTCAATTGTATCATACAATCTTCATCAGCAGATTGAATATTTCCATTTTTTCAGAGCACCTAAAAGGCTGAGATTGAACATTGAAAGTCTTGAGAGGTTGAAGTACGCTACTAAATATTATGGATGTTGTCCTGGTATTGAGTTGCAGTCTATTTTGCACACTCCACACCATGACAACACACACGCAGTGGTTCAACAGTATTAATGTCAGTTCTTGCTAACAACAGTTAAGAAAATTAGATCTTACTTAGGTGTAGAGTGTAGATGTTGTGATGTTGCTTACAGTCTGCAAGTAAAGGAACAAAGATGCTGGTTGCTTTTCACAGTGTGTTGTTTGAGATTTCTACGGTGTTTTAGTGAGCTGGGGTAATTTTGGCACTGCGGTACCCTGGACCATGAATAGAATAGATATATCCTTAGCCTGTCTAACATTAGCAGGGTAAAAGCAGTAGCGTATTAAGTGTAAGGTCAGTGTAACTCGCAGTAGAGAGTCATGTGCCCCATGTGACTTGAGTTATGCCTGATTGGAGTGACTGAGTGACAGGTAGTTGGCTTTGTTGTTTGTACACAGTGGGAACATTGAGACAGTTTAAGTTTGTGTTCCTTCCTTATATTAGATCATCACGTCATCTGTCTAGACATAATGACCCCATGACTGTTTCTGCTCCAACACATTGTTGATTGTAACTGTATACTTAAGGTGTGCTGGGAGTTTTTGTAAAGATGTGTAAATTATTATATCAGTTATTTCAATAACAAACGGGAGGCACAGAAGACATTTTTTCTCTACAACTGAAATTGGGTGTCAAGCATTTCCTGTAGGTGTTGTTATCAAGGCAGTGTAATCGGTCTGTTACCCAAGCATTTATGGCTGTGAGGGTGTGAGTCACAGATTTCAGATGCACAAAAGCAAAACGACAAATGTGTGTACGCTTTGTCTGGAAATGTACTGCTGCATTGTGAGTCATTTTTAGTGGAGCATGGATACGTTTCAGTGTCACTATTTATTTTTTCTTAATAACACATAATGCAGTATGAAAATGAGGGGTTGTTGATTTAGAGATTACAGTGATTTTTCTCTCCCCCTCTTCTCCCACACTTTCTCTCCCCAGGGTGTAAGACAGAGTTGGTACAGCTGGCTGTCCTTCCTTCACTCCCTCCAGCTGTGGCAAGTTGCGCTCAAGAGAGTGGGCGGGCGTTTCGGCACCGGTGTCCTCTCATACTTCCTGTTCCTTAAGACCCTACTCTTCTTCAACGTTTTCCTGTTCCTGGTGACTGGTGCCTTCTTGGTGCTGCCTCAGGCGGTGCACCCTCCAGTGCTGTCTGCGGGGAGAAGCTCCTTCACTGGACTGGAGCTCCTCACCGGAGCGGTGAGCTGTGTGCTGTGTGCTGTGGTGTCATGTTATTATGACACCTCTCACATCCTATGACGCCTTAGTTGAAAAAAAAAACAAAAAACATTCACCACATCCTTTATGTGTTCAGAAGCTTTAAAACTTATGATAAAAAAGCCATTTTTAAAGAGCTGGAAATAAAGTGCTCCTCCACTACAACAAACAGCTTATAGTTTTGCTCATTGTTACGTCACTTGGATGTTTGAGCTTCGCTGTACAGGGTGTTTTGACACTAGATGTTTTCACATTCATTGCTGAAGGGGAGAAGTTTCTCTGTGATCACCTTAAATCTGAGTTTAAGTTGTGTACGCACGAACAGGATTTAGTGACATCACAACTAGTTTGGAAACCAATTATGGTTAAATATGCAATAAGTGTGATGTGGAAACTTGAAACCCGTAGTGCACTCTCACAGATAATGGACCTTTTAGTGAAGTAGGAGACAGCTTGTGCCCCGCAGTCAAACTTTTTATACTAAAAATTATCGCTTGGCAATGTTTAAATATTCTATTGATATTGTAATATGAGACTACATATTGTTTTAGATTCTGGATAGCATATTCTAAGTGTCTTTTCCTGGCTTTAATAGATGCAATACAGTGAAGTGATGTAATTTTCTAAACTTGCGTGATTAGGTATTTGGTTAAAAGTATTGTGATATTGGATTTTGTCCGCATCACCCAACCCTACTGAAAATATACAGTACAGGCCAAAAGTTTGGACACACCTTCTCATTCAATGCGTTTTCTTTATTTTCATGACTATTTACATTGTAGATTCTCACTGAAGGCATCAAAACTATGAATGAACACATGTGGAGTTATGTACTTAACAAAAAAAGGTGAAATAACTGAAAACATGTTTTATATTCTAGTTTCTTCAAAATAGCCACCCTTTGCTCTGATTACTGCTTTGCACACTCTTGGCATTCTCTCCATGAGCTTCAAGAGGTAGTCACCTGAAATGGTTTCCACTTCACAGGTGTGCCTTATCAGGGTTAATTAGTGGAAGTTCTTGCTTTATCAATGGGGTTGGGACCATCAGTTGTGTTGTGCAGAAGTCAGGTTAATACACAGCCGACAGCCCTATTGGACAACTGTTAAAATTCATATTATGGCAAGAACCAATCAGCTAACTAAAGAAAAACGAGTGGCCATCATTACTTTAAGAAATGAAGGTCAGTCAGTCCGGAAAATTGCAAAAACTTTAAATGTGTCCCCAAGTGGAGTCGCAAAAACCATCAAGCCCTACAACGAAACTGGCACACATGAGGACCGACCCAGGAAAGGAAGACCAAGAGTCACCTCTGCTTCTGAGGATAAGTTCATCCGAGTCACCAGCCTCAGAAATGGCAAGTTAACAGCAGCTCAGATCAGAGACCAGATGAATGCCACACAGAGTTCTAGCAGCAGACCCATCTCTAGAACAACTGTTAAGAGGAGACTGCGCGAATCAGGCCTTCATGGTCAAATAGCTGCTAGGAAACCACTGCTAAGGAGAGGCAACAAGCAGAAGAGATTTGTTTGGGCCAAGAAACACAAGGAATGGACATTAGACCAGTGGAAATCTGTGCTTTGGTCTGATGAGTCCAAATTTGAGATCTTTGGTTCCAACCGCCGTGTCTTTGTGAGACGCAGAAAAGGTGAACGGATGGATTCCACATGCCTGGTTCCCACTGTGAAGCATGGAGGAGGAGGTGTGATGGTGTGGGGGTGTTTTGCTGGTGACACTGTTGGGGATTTATTCAAAATTGAAGGCACACTGAACCAGCATGGCTACCACAGCATCCTGCAGCGACATGCCATCCCATCCGGTTTGCGTTTAGTTGGATGATCATTTATTTTTCAACAGGACAATGACCCCACCTCCAGGCTGTGTAAGGGCTATTTGACCAAGAAGGAGAGTGATGGAGTGCTGCGGCAGATGACCTGGCCTCCACAGTCACCGGACCTGAACCCAATCGAGATGGTTTGGGGTGAGCTGGACCGCAGAGTGAAGGCAAAGGGGCCAACAAGTGCTAAACACCTCTGGGAACTCCTTCAAGACTGTTGGAAAACCATTTCAGGTGACTACCTCTTGAAGCTCATGGAGAGAATGCCAAGAGTGTGCAAAGCAGTAATCAGAGCAAAGGGTGGCTATTTTGAAGAAACTAGAATATAAAACATGTTTTCAGTTATTTCACCTTTTTTTGTTAAGTACATAACTCCACATGTGTTCATTCATAGTTTTGATGCCTTCAGTGAGAATCTACAATGTAAATAGTCATGAAAATAAAGAAAACGCATTGAATGAGAAGGTGTGTCCAAACTTTTGGCCTGTACTGTATGTATAATCACAGAGTCTGGATTTTTTTTTTCATTTTTTGAAAAAATACTTTTAACCCAAACCAAATATAAAAAGCTACTTTAAGGCAACTTTAAGTTTTTGCTTAAATGTCTCTCTGTCTCCTTTTTTCTCAGGGCTATTTCTCAGACACAGTGATGTACTATGGATACTACTCCAACTATACACTGGGTGGGAGCTGCAGGGATACTGATGACAGGCAGAATGCCTCTTTGCCCAAAGGAGCCAGCCTGGACTGTGTGTTGTATAACATGCCGCTTGCATACTTCTTCACCATAGGAGTGGCTTTCTTCATCACATGTATCATTCTTGTATACAGGTACATTGATTTTGTATGCTTTTTGTTAGTTAAAAATGCACATCTAAACACAAACTACTAAAATAACTAATTATAACAATAATAAGTGTAATAATATCTCATGGAGCATGTTAATGTGCAATTTCCCAACAGCATGTCAAAATCGTTTGGTCAGAGCTTCCGAATCGACAAATCTCACAGTATCTTGGCTATGAAGGTCCTCTGCTCCTGGGACTTTAAGGTCATTAAGAAAACTTCTGTCAGACTCATGTCTGAGAATATCTGCACCCAGCTCAAGGTACATGTAAACACACATGCACACACACACATCCTTCCTCTTTTTACCTCCTCCTCTGTCACATAATTGGCAGACAGGAATGTGATGACCTAATGCATTCTTTACCTTCTTTCTCCCCCCGTTATCTTGCAATATTCCTCATCTGTCACTCACTCTCTGTCCTGCCTCCACCCTCCACAGGAGCTGCTAGCAGAGGTGAATCATAAACATGTCAAGAAAACATCGTGTCAGAAGTTTGGGAGACTGATGGTTCATGGTCTGGCATGGGCTATCTGCATAGCAAGCACCACTGCCTGTGTGCTTGGTATTTACTACTTCTCTGAATACATGCACCAGGTGAGGCAGGTGGTTTCTTAAGGATCTGAATTTTAATTAATGAATACTCAGACTTCAGGCTTTATTTGTTTTTCTTTGTTACACAGTCTTTCGTCTTTATGTTTATTAAATTAGCCATTCATACATACAGTATGCCTCTTCTGGCCACCATTCTTTCTGTAAGACTGTCATCCAAGCAAATCAATAATGTTTCTGTATATCAAACAAACTGCTGATCAGCTGCATGGTTGCTTTATATAAACGTCTCTGTTTCTACTGTCTTGGGTTTAAACCCCTACATTTAAACTTGCTGGTGCCCCCTAGTGGTAGTACAAAAAAAGACATGCTGGCTCACAGCTGTGCTGCTAGTTGTCAACAAAACAATTGGTGAAACAGGCTTTTATGACAGCTGGAAGATGACAGAACAACAACAGTAAAATTAAAGAGCTCATCTACCCCCCCCCACCCCCACCCCCCCAACAGAACCTCCAAGCAAGTTCTCGCAGAGTCATCAAAAACCCATTGTCGCATGAAGCCAGCCTGCTGGCCCTCCCAGTGGTGGTCTCCCTGATCAACCTGCTGCTACCCGGCCTGTTCAACCTCGCTGCCTGGATGGAGGACTATGACTCACCTTCTGTGCGCACATATGCCGCCATCAGCAGGTATGAGCAGAACTGCATGATGCAAGTTCAGAGTAAAAGAAAATGCAGAACTGATGGTTTGGGTTGGTAACATGTTTGCTGTCTGCGTTTCTAGAAACTTGATGTTAAAAGTAAGCGTTCTTGGAGTCCTGTGCTACCACTGGCTGGGTCGAGTGGCTGCTGACCCTAAAAGTATTAAACTGAAGGTAACACAACACTTTTTCATCACAACTGTATAAAGGAGTATTAGTAATCTTGATTATTTAAGTTTGCGTTGCTCAGAGATTTTTCTTTAATGGCTGACTCTGCTCTGTTTTTACCAAACATTGTCTCCAGTGCTGGGAGAGTTTTGTTGGCCAGGAGCTTTACCGTTTCCTGCTTATGGACTTCATATTCACTCTATTGGACACCTTGTTTGGAGAGTTTCTTTGGAGGTTATATTTGCTTTCGTTTTGTAGCAGAGCTTGAATTAACTTTTACAATTTGTTTTCACTTAAAACACGAGAGCTCATAAACTCACTTCCTCCTGTTGTCTGCAGGTTGTTCTCTGAGAAGGTGCTGAAGAGAAGGAGGAAACCAGTGTTTGATATCGCCAGGAATGTCCTTGAGCTCATCTATGGACAGACATTGGCCTGGTACCAACTCACTGTTAAGATGTACACACAGTTATGTTCAGTGAAGTCAAATAGTTTCTGTGTGATGACGATGAACTTTGTGTTTATCAGGATGGGTGTCCTCTTCACTCCTTTGCTGCCTGCAGTGCAGATTCTCAAACTCCTGCTGCTCTTCTACATTAAAAAGGTACTTTAATGGAAACATGGAAATCAAAATGCTCAACAATAAATCCTTTAATTCCCCCTGTTTTGTTATTATGGTTTGAATAATCCTCTGTTGTAGTGTGCCTTCAGAAACTCTCAGCCTATTAGATAGCCTCAGACTTTCTGACCCTGGATCAGTTTGCATCCTTGCAGACTGTCTGTAAACTGTGTCAGTACCGTAACATTATGTGTTGTATACACTGTACAGTATGTGCATCCTGGTATTATGTAACGACTGATGTCATGTCTGCTAAATTCTCTCTGATTTTGCCATTTTTACTTTCTTTCTTGAGCATGACAGTTAATCAGTGACCTTGGAAACGTAGGACCGCAGCCAGATCAGAATGTCAGTGGACCCCTAATTTAGTCAGAGGTTGTGACCCTTGACCTTGGACTGTGTTTTCTCACCTTGGACTGTGTTTTCTCTCCACACAGAGCAGCGTGATGATGAACTGTCAGGCACCCAGAAGGCCGTACCGAGTCAGCCAGATGACCACCATCTTCATCACTCTCCTCTGCTTCCCCTCTTTCCTTGGTGCCTCTGTGTGTGTCACATACACCATGTGGAGGTACACACACACACACACACACACACACACACAAAAACATTTTTGTGCTGTTGACTCTTCCCAATCAAAAATGATCATTTTCTCATTGAAATTTGGAAACTGTAAGGATACACACAGATGTCCAAATTAATAAGACCAAATAGTTTACCAATGTAAATGTTAAGGATACACATGGAGGCTTCCAGCTATGTTAAAAAAAGATTGTGCTCAAATCGTCATTCATTTTTAGAGATTGTTTGTAGTCATTTTAACCCATTTTCATATCTGTTTAACAAGTGAGAGTTAACTGGTAACATAGCAGAGGTGTTGTTGCTATGGATTCAGAAGGGTATACAAAAGCACGCACATCCATACACGATGAGACTCGAGACTATTCTTCCATGAACATATATGTAATCAAATTATCACTTAGGTGACATTTCAGGCTTCATGCTCTTCATCAGAAGCTATGTCTGAGCTGTCCTGTTATTTGATTTTACTGAACACCTGCCAACCACGGCCATGACGAAATTCACCTCAGAGAAAGGTCAAAGAAACAAAGAGTCCTGAGCAACACACACAGTCTCAACATCTGTCTCCTGTCCTCAGCATCACGCCCTCTCCATCTTGTGGTCCATTCCAAGAGCTCAAAAAGATGTCCCAGGCGGGGAAGCGGTGGGTGGAAGAACTGGAAAAAGATAATCCCAACTTGTCCGTGCTGGCCAGGGCTCACTCCTACCTGGTGGAAAACCCTTTCTTCTTGTTTGTGGGAGCAGGCATCTTCCTGTGAGTACCAAAGTTGTTATAAGTTAACTAAAACTAAACTAAAACCAGTCGGCATGACTGAAAGTGTTGCTTGTATTGTATCTATTCTGTCAAATACCCCTGTTATAATTTAAAAAAAAAAGAAAATTCTAATACTGAAACTAATAAAAACTACACTAAAACTAAACATTTTTAAAAGATGAAGACTAAACTGAGTCGGGCAAACACACTGGAAATTAACTGCAACTAAACTGGTTTTTTTTTAAAGATTAAAAACAAAATTAAATTGAAAAACTAATGAAAAATACAAAACTATAATACCTCTAACACACCACACACACATAAACAGCTGCAGCAGGGTGGTCCAGTGTTGAGATAGATTAAAGAGTCAGGATGCACTGTATCTCATAAAGCATTAACCTACCGTACTGAATTATTAATAAGATCAGTGTTATCTAGTCAAGTGTTGGTCGTATTGATCTGATGCACTGTCATTTCTGTCCATCAGGATTATCATCTACTTTCACAGTCAGGTGGTCGACGGGCAAAGGAAGATCATCACTTTACTACAAGAGCAGATAGAAAATGTAAGACATGGCCGACATATACTTATATACCGCTCTACTTCTCTGTGTAACTGTGAAGAAAAAAATGTGGTAAAGCTGAAAATGAAAAGAATGTTTTCCTGTGTTAATATTTCTTGCCTTTTGATGAATCTGGTTCACCTTCTTCTCTGCTCAGGAGGGGGAAGATAAGAAGTTTCTAATCACTCGCCTGCAGTCTATCCATGAGCGAAAACGAACCCCCGCTCGAAGACTCACCAGTCAGGTCGGTCTTTGCTGCTCCGGTGCTTTACAGTGGCCGTTTTGTCTAAAGGTTAAGCAGTCTCTTTAACCTGGCCTCTTCTTACCTCTGTTTTTTACCCTAGGACTCCAGCTGTTGAGATCCAACGCCTCCTCAGTTCTCTGAGCACTGAGGTCTGGAGAAATCCTAAACCAGGGTGAACATAACTGGAATAATCACAGGGAAGGACAACTGTATATATGACCAGATTCAAATGTGTTAGACATTATAAATTTGGCCAGGATTTTAATAACGGAGCATTTGTAGAGAGGCAAAACAAACCAAGTGGAAATATCAGGTAACACAAAGCTGTCTGCTTTACACAGCGCTGTTTATGGACGAAATGCCTGAAGTCAAAAGGTACAAATGGACCATACGACCTGAGAAATGTAAAAGCTGATGTTAATCAGCTCACATAGATTTCAGTCATCTCTTGTAAAAGCACTTTCATATCAACTGTGAACAAATAGTTTTTATTATGTCTGGTGCAAAAACTGTTAATAGTCTACAATGTTTTTTTTTTTTTTTAATGTTTAAATTTTTTTTAAATAATTTTATCAGGATGTTTGTTGTAGGTGAACTTTGGATGTTGTGGGTGTGAGTATGATGATGCTGGGAATGACTCCATTTTGTTTTCTGAGTCGCTCCTTTTAGGGTGATAACTGCCACTGTATTGTCAAAGTGTAGTGTTTAAATTATGTTTTTATCATATCATCATGTATTTTGTTTTTATTAGTGCTTTTAGTACAGCTTGTAAACAACTCAACAGCCTGAAAAAAAATGCGGATATAATATGTACTATTGGCATTTGTAGTTAGTTATACTATAGCAAGTATTTTTGACAGACATGCAAATGAACAAGTTAACTGTATCTATTTTCAGTAGAAAAATAAATATACAAGCACTTTAAAGTACCCTGAAGAACAAAGAAATAACTCAATCTTTGTACCTTTATTAGTAAATATTACCCATTAAATTATTATTTTTACAAAATGAGAAAAAGCAGCATATTTGGTGGAGGGTAGAAACAGCAGCACCATAGATAGATATCTGAACGTGATAGCTGGAGTCGACAGAAGAGAGCACCAAATCCCTACAAAACAACCTGGGAGGTGTTACGAATGCAGCGCTTTCCCATCAAAGGTATTTTAGATAACCACCATGACAGTCCCATACATATGGCATGGTACATATTTACTGTATATATACACACACTGTACCCAGCTTTCATTGTGTTTGTGTACACGTCACAACAATATCATGTCTACAGTATATATATCTGTCTATATGTTAAAACAAGTGATCCCGTATGTTGTGTTTAAACAGTTCCAACATTCTGGTTTGATTGTATTTGACTCAAAGAGTTTTTGAGTTGTTCAGCTTTTCTGCTGTTTATGGAAGACAACATTTAGACAGTTTTCTCATTCAAGTCCTGTTTTCGTGTCCCTGTTGTCCTCCCTTGATGTTCTCATCTCTGCAGAATGTCTTCCTGACGCTACACTAACATTACTGCACCTGTAAGGTGAAGCAACTCAACTCCCGTTATTGAGCATGCCCAGTAGCTTCCTGGGGTCCATCCCCTGCTGCTGTGCCATCTTCTGCACATCGAAGCCCATGTGCTTCAGGAACTGGATCACACTCATCTCCTGTCCCGTCAGCTGGTCGCGAATGGTCGGGCAGGAGGGGTTACAGTGCGGCCACGGGCAGCTGTCAATCAGATGTAGAGGGCAGCCCCTCATGGGCGGGGTCTTGTGCTTTTGTTGGTTGTGGTTGCTGCTGTTGGTGTGGTTGTTGTCCTGGAGGCTGCGGTCCCAGCAGTGGAGGGCTCGGGGCAGGGAGGTGCCTTTCACCTGAATGTCCATCCAGTAGCTGCAGGGACAGGAAGTCACAGTGAACTTTGACAATGAGCACTTTCATGAAGCTTAATTTAAAATGTATATAACTGAATTCAGTCATGACAAATACTGGAGCTGCACAAGATATTAATTTTTAATTGTGAAAATCTACACATGTGAGTGAGGTATATTGGACTAGACTTGTTTCATGTTATTCAGTCATGTTTAATCTGCTTCCTGTTTTATTTTGTGGATTCTCTCCCGTGTTGTGTCTGGTTTTACTTCCTGCATATTTTCTGTCACACCTGTCTCGTTAGTCCTTCCCTGTTCCCAGAGTCTTCCCTTTATACCTGTTCTGTATTAGTCTTATTTGCTCCACCCTAGTGTTCCCCTCCACATCCTTGTCGTTAGCCAGTTTGCCCATGTCCTCTTATTCCAGCTGTGTCTCGTTCTCGTGATTAGTTTTCTGTGTATATATATACACCTGTGTGTTTCCCTTTGTTCTTTATCAGTTTGTCCTGCGGTCATTCCTGCTTGCATTCCCGTGTTCTTGGTGTCATTCCCTGCTCCCTTTCCTGCCTGGTATTTTGTGTCTGGATTTTTTTTACCTTAGTTCAACATATTTTTCCTGGCTGGTTTTCACTGTAGTTTTGGTTCTGCTTTCTGCTTTTTTTCTACTTGTAGGTACCTGCCTGTTGCGGGTGTTTTTTATCGACTGAATTAAAGCAAGCTTTTTGTTAAATCTTAAACCCACCTGCTGCTCTGTACTGAACTGATTCATGACAGAGAGATGACGAGGCACCCACACAGTCACTGTGCAAATCTCAGTCAAGACCTGAGTAATATCTGTGTAATATCGCAAGTATGACTGTCAGCGCAATGTTCAGCAGTGTTATGGCATATTACATATTTTCCTCATGTCGTACAGCCCTGATATATACCATAATATACTATGCAATCTATCCCCTTAATTCCTCTGGGTTGTATTTAGAGACTGATCGATTGATATTGTAGGAAGACAAACTGGCTGATGTTGATATACATCTATAAAATTCTGAGATTGATCCTTGAGATTTGTTTTTATCGAATTGTTACCAATGTATGTTGTGGGCTGTGCATGAACACCAGGGTCCAGTTGCACAAAACACCACAAGTTAAGATTTTCCTTAAAGTCCTTGTTAAGGTTTCCTCATAATCTTACTATATAATGACAAAAACTCTGTCTGTGGGTGTGTCTGTCTGTGTGTCTGTTCCACATTTTTCTCCTCACTGACTTGGTCAATCCATGTGAAATTTGGCACAGTGGTAGAGGGTCATGGGAGGATGCGAATGAAGCAATATTACATCAATTGGCCAATGGGGGGCGCTATAGCAACCGACTGAAATCGCAAAATTTGAATGGGCATATCTCATGCCCCGTACGTCGTAGAGACATGAAACTTTGCACAGAGATGCCTCTCCTCATGAGTAACAACTTTGCCCCAAGGACCCATAACTTCCAGTCATATAGATTTTCCGCCATTTTGAATTTTCTGAAAAACACTTAAAATCAATCTCTTCTCTCTCAAAGCAAAGTAAAAAGAATTAAGGTACCGCTGACTTTATCTTAACTGCAACAGGACTGAGTTTATGGTGATAGATGAAAAAAACTAACAAACCCTGAGAAGAGTGTTCTTCGACCAGGAGAAACCAATGGACACGCTTTTGATTTTACACTTTAGCTTTGACTGGATTCATTTTCATAGTAGTTTCTTCCTACAATCATTTTTAGTTTTCTGGTAATTGGAGATCAATTTTATTTTGTAGTTTGTGTTTTCTATGATTATATTCCTCCAGAAGTATAATCTTTATTGTTTCCTCTTCTGACCATGTGGTTTTCTTGTCTTCTTTGCCTCTGCCATTTTTTTCACTGACTATAAGCCAAATTTGTGAGATGACAACAGGCATCACAAGCGTGAGTCCAAGCAAACAATTTCCATGGAAACTTTTACCGCTGTAAAATCTCTTTCATTGCAGTAAATAAGTTAATGTTTTTCCCTAACTAAGGAAACCTTTTAAGGGATTCTGTGCAACTATGTAAGTCCTTCAGCTAAGGAGATATTAAGCCTTTTGTGTCATGCTTAAGGAGAAAACTTGAGGTGTTTTGTGCAGCTGCAGAGTATGTGTATTAGATTAGAATCGCTAACAAATGAAGCACTGTTTTATTTGTAATACTGATTTTACAGGATGTTTTCATCACTGTGGTGAACAGCCTTGTTGGGTGTTTAATTCTGCCAAAGCAGACTTTTTTATCTGTTAATTTTTTATATTTTATCTGAATAATTAAAGGTAATTGTAAAGAGAATGTAGAGCGAAGGTTGAAGTCACTGATAGTAGACAGTAGATGAAGTCTAATACAGTGGGACTAAATGAGACTGTACACACTCGTGAAGTGATCTTACACGTGGAGCACTGAGTCACCAGCAGAGTGTTTGAGTCAAATGGTGTGTTAAAAAGTTTTATGTACTTACGTTCTTGTGATGAGTTCATGTGACAGACAGGCCGGAGCAAACATCGCCCTGTCGTACAAACATAGAATCACACACTCAACACGACGGTCTTATTTCACAGTATCTTGTGTTTATGTGTGAGTGTGTTTGTCAGTCTTACGGTACGTCACGTAGCGTGTTCCTCAGCTCCTGTCCCAGGTTCTGTATGTACCGCCACTGACCCTCGTGGACAGGCTGCCCCGTCAGGTGGATGTTGTCAACTGTCAGCTGAGCCTCGTCAAACAGCCACTGCACCACAAACAACGGGCCTGTACAGGAGAGAGGATGCACTGCAGGTCAGACTTTAACTGACCCACCAGCCTCTGTCTTAATCGTCTGCGTCAGCCTTGTGGAGAAGCTCAGGGTGTTGTGTCACTCACTTTTTAACGTGGGAAAGACTTTATATCCAAAGAAACAGTTCCACTCCTCTCCCACATGAGCCTGTCTGCAGCCCTCTGGCACCAAACCGCCCCAGTACCTATAAAGTATCACCACTTTACAAAGTCTGTACAGCTTATGAACCTTCCTCCTTAACTTCTTAACACTCCCTCATCAATCCATCCTCCTGTCTGTTAACACCATCGATCAGCTCTCCACCTGTCCTACCTGATGCCTCTTTTTATGGCCTCAATGGGGGCACAGCTGATGGTGTCCAGGCAGTCGGTGAATTTGTACTGTTTGTTGTCCAGGAACCATCCAGAGTCAGCCAGGCCCCTGACCTGCACCCCTCGGTGGCCCTGTGACGCCAGCTGCTCTGCAACGTTGTCCACATTCAGCAGGACGCCTGTGCCACCCGCACTGGTGACAGGAAGAGTGAGATCAGAGGGTGCAACTGAGCGATGACTTTGGTGAAACACACACACAAACACGTGCTGAACTGACCTGCTTCCTGCCAGAAGCAAAACCTTGGCATTTTCCAGTCCTTTTGTCAGCAGCTCGTTCACCACCTCCTTTATGATCAGAGAGCCCATAAACGCATAATCACCTGAGAACAAAGATGGTTTTTATTTATTAACATGAAGCCACGTGACATACTTCTCACTCTGACAACTAACTCTGCATCAGTATTATACATCTGCTGAAAACTTTGGGTAAGAGAGGGTAGATTACAATTTTAATGTTTAAAGTTTATTAATTTAAAAATTGTATATTTAAACAAGTATCAGCAACAACAATGTATTTTAGGTATTTATTAAATTTTTTACGTGCTCAGTTTACAGCGTGAGTAAAGGAATACTTCACCCACAAAAGGACCATTTGTAAATCAGTTACTCACCCTGTGTTACATTTTGTTTTTTTGCATGCCTCCACAATGAACGAAGAATCAAAAAACAGAAAATTGAAGTAAAGGGGTTTTGTGTTTAACAACAGCAAAACTATATAAAAAATCAGTTTACAAACTCTCACGCAACTCATGCAGTATAATCTAAATCTCATTTATCTAGTCGTATGATCAGTACTTCCCAAACACATGCATTGTCAATACAACATTACTTTTTAAAACACTTCTGCATACAAGCAGAGCCTGGGCAAGTGTGTGCGTTTGAACTCTGCCCCAGGGTTGGACGGGGGGGGGCTCTTCTGTGTGGAGTTTGCATGTTCTCCCCATGTCAGCGTGGGTTTTCTCCGGGCAGCTTCCTCCCACAGTCCAAAAACATGCAGGTTAATTGGTGACTCTAAATTGTCCGTAGGTGTGAATGTAAGTGTGAATGGTTGTCTGTCTCTGTGTATCAGCCCTGTGATAGTCTGGCTACCTGTCCGTGGTGTACCTCACCTCTCACCCAATGTCAGCTGGGATAGGCTCCAGACAAATGAGACTTGGATTATACTGCATGAGTTGTGTGAGAGCTTGTAAAATGATGTTTTGATATAGTTTTGCTGTTAAACGCAGACCCCATTTAATTCATCAAGAATTTTCTCCATTTTTGACTCTTAATTCATCACAGAGACATGCAAGATAAACAAAGTTTTCTTCCTGCATAACACGGGATGAGTAATTGATATAAATGGTAATTTTGTAGGTGAAGTGTTCCTTCAAGACAAATGATGTTATCGAAAGTCCAAATGTCACCTGACTGACTAGAGTAAATTACACTCAGCTTTAAATTAGCAACACTCAGCTAGTTTTTGTTTGAAGCTATGGTATTGTGAATTAATGATTGATCTCGATTTAATAGAAAAATAGCTTGCATGTTGTGTTACTGATAATCCTGCCGAGTGTCTGACATGAACACAATATAATGAGGCTTTTTTAATAAGTCAGACATGGGCAATGTTGTAAAGTTAAGTTCCGTAAATAGTATATTAATAAGTATTTCCTTCTCTCTCAGCCAGATCTACAAGCTCACAATGTGAGTCATCTACTTTATTGTGTCTTACTGTTCTCTGTCTTCGGTGTGGCTCCGCTCCACACGTCACTTGAGCAGTACGGGATGAAACTACAGGACACAGAGAGAGAGCAGCGCAGACAATTATATGGAATGACATTTAAAATGGAAGCAGCTTTTATTCGAGCCAGTTTGCTGATAGCTGACAGATAAGACAGTTGCACAAATAAAAGCCAACCCGGCTGTGTGATGGTAGACTGAACACAAACACGGACAGGGAGCTGTTGCAGGATGTCAGTGTGTATCTTTCATTATCTAACAATAACAAGTAGCTGCTGGAACAGAACAGGAGCAGACTGTACGTGCTGTCAGGTACTGCTGATCTTCTTTATGTATGAAAGGAAAATAATGACGGCGTCAATAACGTTACAGGGAAAAATAGTGCTCAATAAGTCTTACATGTATTTGATGTAAGTGTAAGTAGCAATACCATTATGGAAATTTGAATATACACCATTAAAGGGATAGTTCGGATTTTTTGGAGTGGGGTTGTTTGAGGTAGTCAGTGTGTCACCTACAGTAAACGGGGGTCGGCATGCCCTTAGTTTGGAGAAGCAGGTAAAATTAGTGCCACAAAAGCTGAGGTATGTACTGCTGTGGATGGGATCAGCAGCAAAATGTATTTTGGCCACATGATTAAAATAATATCAGTTTAAGTGTACACTACATTTAGAATAGTTTTACTGCTTTACCTTAGCCTGGAAATCCAGACCCAAATCTAGAAAGATTTAGGGTCTGGCTATGAGTAATGTAAATGGTCCAACTCGAGGGGTGGCACCAAGCATGCATTTTTAAATATCACTGCATGCAATTGGATAACACTACGACCATTCAGAACAATACACGGGGTGACGTATCCAGAGCTTAGCTACCAGCAGAGCTAACTGGTAGATTAGACTCTTGCCATATCCGGTCGGCAAAACAGCAAAAACGTCCTTCTTGCAAAGGAAAGATTCGAGCGCTGTCTTCTGTTCCTCTTTTAGAGAAAAAGCCAAGTCTAACTCGTTCATTGTAGTGGCCAAAGCCATTTCAAACAGCTGGTGTTCATCCGTAGCCATCTTGCAATGTTTACTGACTGATTCCAGACTTCAATGTCACAGTGCTGTCATCATCTGTTTAGCTCGCCTCTGGCCCGCCTATATCAGATACACCGATGTGATTGGTGCAGCTCGGTTTCATGGGCATAGATAATGAGCATCATTACTGATCGCCAGAGTGACTCACTGAGCAAATTCAAATTGTGCTCTCGCGAGAACTCTGGATTTCCAGGGTAGCTTTACCTTGCTGTCAGACAGCAATTTCCAGTGGGGAACTGAAGCTGTTATCTATGCTCACAGAAAACTGGAGCTGCTGGTCTACCGCTGCCTCGATTGGTTAGTTTGTTTGTGTTATTGTGTGACTTTGGTGAATTCAAACCAACACTTTGAAACACCACAGTCACACAATAATACAAACACACTAACTGACTGAGGCAGTGGTAGACCAGCAGCTTCCTGTGTTCAGTGAGGTAATTTTTTTATCAAAGGAGTTGGTTGGCTTTGAAGACAGTATAGGTGGATATTATGGCTTCAGTTCCCTTTCAGAAAAAGCTGTCTGACAGCAAGGTAAAGCAGTGAAAATATTCAAAATATAGCATACAATTAAACTGATTTAGATATATTTTTAGGTGGCTAAAATCTGTTTTGCTGCTGCCCCTGTTCACAGCAGTGCATTGCCTAGCTTCCATGGCAGTACTCCTGCTGCTTCTCCAAACTGGGGGCGTGCCAACTGCCATCTACTGTAGGTAACACACTGACTATGGACAAGTATGTCATACAACCCCGCTTCAAAAGATCTGAACTATCCCTTTAAAGACCTGAGAGACACAAACAACTTCAGTAAATGCAAATAAGTAGTGCTTTCTATAAGAAATAGGTCTGTTCAGAGTGCTAAATTATTGACACATCCTCGTGCCAGTATTTCACTTTTATCCACAGAAACCACAGAGTTCACAAATAGGAAATAAAACACCATAAAACACCAGTATATTAAAATGTAGAATTAATATGTTGACACAAACACGTATACTGTGAGGAGAAGGAAATATAGGAGTTCTTACACCATGTTGGCGTTCCACCAGTGAGGGTTTTCTTCCGGCTGAGGAGACATTATTCCTGTTCCTGTGAAATAAAGAAGGTGAGATCCAACACGTGCTGCACATTCAGGACAAATCATAGAGCCAGAAAGCTTCAGTAAAGGTAAAAGAAGCCAAAATCTTTCAGGCTACTTGTTAAAATTCACAAACCTTGATGTATAGCTGTGCGTTTTGATGTATGCTGAGGCGTGTGTTTACTGTGTCTGTGTCTGTGTATGTGTGTTTTCCCTGTGGTCATTAAGTCATTAACTTTCCCTGCTTTGGTCAGCAATTACATGAAGGCATTGAAGAGCTCTGTGGCTGCTGCACTGGCCACCAGTGTAAAGTGTACACAGAGAGGGTGGTGGGGAGAGCGCCATAAACAAACAAGGAGTCCCCTGATGGCTGGAGGGAAAGAACCAGAGAGTTTGACTTTTAAAGATTAATGCAAACTCAGCTAAAGAGGAAACACAAACACGTCTATGAATCTCCTTCATTCAGGGGAATTTTTTTTCCAACTGGGGTGAGCAAAAGCTCCATGCGACTGTGCAGAGAGTTTGCAGAAGATGCACAAACCAGATTAACACTTCTATGCGTGTGTGTGTGTGTTTGTGTGTGTGTGTTTGTGCATAAGATACAGAGTGCATCGATTGTGCTGCACACAATGCAGGAAATAACTTGCGTGTCTTGTTACCTGTTCTGGTTTCTGGCCACTTGGTGGAGCTCATCAGTCTCCTCATCGTCTCATACCTGCTGTCACAGGTCTGCTTGTTGAAACAGTACCATCCACCTGAACAACACACACACACGCGCGCACACACACAAGCTTGTTAACAGGTTAGACAGAGTTGCATTTCACTGCTCTGATCTTTGTTAGGTTCATCCTCACCTTCTAAGAACAGCAGCCACCTCTTACTGCCTTTGGACTCCTTGATGTAGTACCTGCGTGAAAAAGCCAAAACAAATCACCGTGAATGTGTTGCACATGCACACACACACACACAGACGCATACATACACAACACAGGCTCTACGGTGGGGACACTTCCTTTGATCCCGACTTGAAAGATTTGGCTCCCATGGCACTGCTAACACTCTCTGCAGGAGTCTGTTTAGTGGCTTTAACAGCTCAAAACGGTTATTTATGAAAATATAAAACATGACCAGAGGAAACTCATTGAGCTGTTGGCAGCACACGCACTCAGAGAGACCTGACAGCTTGGGTGGCATATGGAAAGGTCACTTATTCACACAGTCACAGTCACAGTGTTTAAACTTTATTGGTGACTTAACCCTGCTCCAAGCTTACCAATAATGCCTGGCTTTTCCAAAAAGGTGGACTAGCTCAAAACAATTATAAAGTGCTCAGGATTTATTTTTAAAAATACTGTTAGTTATACTTGCTCGCAACTACCCTGTTAGCTGCACCGCCTCACCTGTTAATGCAGCCGGAGTCATGAGATAGTATCCATGCATGCACATATGATCCTTTGAGTCCGAAAGATCAAAAGTGCTGAGATTTATTCCACAGAGATGCAATGAAACTCCCTGCCACTTCTCAGATCTTTCACATCTGAATCCCTTACTCATAACAGAAATAGTACTGCAGTGCCTCTGACAGTAGGATGATTGGCACAACGCTTGGGGCTCTCAGGAACATGATCCCCTAACTTTTTTTGTTTGTGCAAATCTGACTAAACCTGGGATCTTGCAGTGATCTGCGGCGCACGGCAGTCGAGGCATGTGACATGTTTATGTTAGGGTAGTCACCTTTCACTTGGACAGTAGCTGCTGAGAATGACAGCCTATAAATGGTGGTTTAGGCTCTAATCAGTCAAAGCTGCAGTTTAACTGTGTAACCCTGTGACACCCGGTGCACATGTTCTATATAGTGAGGAGAGCATGTCCCCTGCAACCCTCCACCCCCCGAAATCTAAACCTATGTAAGTCCATGATGCTTCTGTTTCTTCCACTGTAAAACAATCAGACACGTTATTGCAAAAACTATCATTGTCCAGTTTTATACTGTAAATATCAGACTCACCAACTTTGATCCATCAGAGTAAATTAAAGTCTGCACGAAGAGAAAGTTTGCCACTCTGTCGGGTGCGCGCATGGGTACTCTTTCTCTCCTGTATAGTTATCAGCGGCAGCGCGCACTGCCTTCTCTCTGATCTGGTCCTTTGATCCATTTTGGTCACATCCGGGGTGACAAGGGACTGAAGGACAGCAAACTAAACCACTACAGTAACACTTATTGGATGTTGGGTGAAGCAGAGCGCAAATCTGCCTCTGCGCCTTCATGGTTTTAACCAAAAAATATCCACATACCAAACGACGACAGGTATTTTAAGTGATAATGATAAATGCAGTTCAGCACACTGACTTACCCTGCTGCTGACCCGTCATTGCAAGTCACAGATACATTGTTCAAAAAGTGCAGCTTCATGTCTTGATCCAGCTTCTGCGCAGAGCATGGGTACAGGGACTGCGCCAAGTTCTTTATCTGTACCATGAAGTTGTCCATGTTGCCCTCCACGGCTGTAAAGTCTAACGGAAAGCTCTCTGTTCCTTCCACACGCTCCCTCTGTGCCGGAGTTTGCTGCTGCTGCTGTTGTTGCTGCTGTTGCTGCTGAACCCGCCGATTTTGCGCCCGACCGCCGTGTACTCTCCGCGCCTCCACCGGTGCGCTCATGTGGATGAAGAGGAGCAGCAGGCAGGAGCGCACCGCGGACACACCGGCCCAGCTTCTCATCACACCACGGCTCTGCATGTCTAACTGTTACTGGAATACGTCTCTTAAATATGTGCAGGGGACTTCACAAAAAACACAACATATCCTAAGAGTCGTTGGAAAAGTCAAAAGTTCTTTGAAAACGCGCGGACACTTCTGGGAAGTTTTCGCTCTTTAAAGGTGCGCAGAATGAACGCAGGTTATGGGTCTCCATGGTGTCTTGAGAGATAGAGCGCTGGTTTAAAATTCACACCAAATGCACGTGCAGTCCCCTCATCATTTTAATCCTAAAGTCGCGAGGAGCCAGTAAAAGCGTCATTACGCGCGTGGAAGTCCCTGAATTCAGCCGCTCAGCACAGTTACACTGTCGACCTGTTGACTCTTGGTTCAGGTCCTCGTGAGCTGCGGACGAAGTGGAATTTTATTTGAAGTCGCCCCCCCTCGCCCCCCTTCCTCCTGCTCCCTGCCCCGTGCTTCTCACTCCCGCGGGCCAATCGTTATTATCGTTGGCTGATGCTCCTCGCGGGGCTTCGGTCTCACACCAAGAGCGCGCGTATGCCTGGCACGCCCCCTCAGTCGGTTCACTCATACACTCGGTCTCTTTGATGTTGTGTCGTCGTATGACCACGCTGCCTTTGAAGTGTTAGTGATTGAATATGGTGTGTGAGGGAGAAGCGCAGTCGGACAGACTGCGGAGGGTCTCACCATGCCGCCAGGGGCCAATACAAACAAGTCTCCAGTGATACACATGTTCTGTGGCTTTAGTTAAAATGTGAAACCCGAATTTTGCTGTTGTTTGTGGCCGATGGAGATGATCTTGTAGATGTGAGTCAGTTCTGGAGTGGTTAGGACATTTATAGAGGAGATCAGGTCCCCGGGGGCTTTAAATCATAACTATGGTCCGTATTTGCTTTGAATTTCATTTATATAGATTTCTGAACAGACCTACGGGGCACAGGCCCAGGGGCCCAAAGTGTCAGGGCCCCCCCCCTGGCCTTCACCTGCAGAAAGTCACTCAAATTAACACCAAGCAGGAAGAGACACAAAATGACCACAAAAAGATGCAAAGAAACTCTAAAGAAATGCAAAAATAACTACAAAAAGGAGTGAAGCAACCACAAGAGACTAGAAAAGCAAAATTAACTCAAGGAGACATGATATAACTACTAAAAGGGGAAAACAACCACCAACAGACATAAAATCCAGAAAAGTCACAAAATGAACTCAAAGACACACATAATAGCTACAAAAGGGGCCAAACAACCACTAAGAGACACAAAATGACCACAAAAAGATGTGAAGGAACTGCAAAGAGACACAAAATCACAGCAAAAAGGGTCAAGAGACACAAAAAGTCCAAAAGAGACACAAAATTAACTCAAAGAAACACCAAATAACTACAAAAGGCACAAAACAATCACTAAGAGACACAAAAAGACCAAAAAAAGACACATGCAAACTACACAAAGGGTAAAACAACCACAAAGAAACACAAAAAGTCCAGAAGAGACACAAAATGACTACAAAGAGATGCAAAGGAACTGCAAAGAGACACATAATAACTACAAAAGGGGCAAAACAACCACAAAGAAGCACAAAAAGTCCAAAACAGAAACAAAATGAACTCAATGAAACACAATAACTACCAAAGGGGGCAAAACATCCACAGAGAGACACAAAATGATCACAAAGAGGGGCAAAAAAATCACAAAGAAACACAAAAAGTCCAAAAGAGACACAAAAAGAACTCAGAGAAACACAAAATAACTACAAAAATGGACAAAACAAACCACTAAGTGACACAAAAAGACCAGAAAAGACACACAAGAAAAACTACAAAAATGGACAAAACAAACCACTTTGAGACACAAAAAGAACTAAAAGAGACAAAAAAATAACTACAAAAAAGGACAAAACAACCAAAAAGACAAAAAATAAATATAAATAATAAATAATAAATTACTTCAAAGAGACACAAAAAATACAAAAAGGTGCAAAACAACCAAAAAGAGACACAACATGACTAAAGATGAGGCAAAATCACCACAAAGTCTGTAGCCCCTTTTACACTGCCAGATTTTCGGCGAATGTTGGGCCGTTTTGCCGGCAAACTGCGAGCGTTTAGACACACAGAGCCGGATTGGTGAGTTGATCTGAGGTGCCCAGTTTTCCGCCTCTTAGGGTAGTCATACTGGCGGAACCCTTTTGAGTTTAAAAAGACCGAGGCGGCCTTCCGCAACGGGAGGGACTGTTGAAGACTTGTGGGAGGAGGTGTTGATGATGCCGTATGTGCGACTCACTGGTGGTGGATAAACAGGAAACAGCTGATAGCAGGAATTAGCGAGCAGCTAGTAGCAAGAGGGAAACACAAACCTGACAGACACTGTAAAGATGAGCAACTGGGGAGACAAGGAATTGCGTGCTTTCCTTGCCCCTGCAAATGAAGAGGCCATTAACTGCCAATTGACAGGAACGGTGAAGAACGGGCGACTTACGAGAGAATTGCTGAAGGACTGACTAGCCGCGGCTTGCCCCCCATGTCACTGGTTACGTCACATGCTGAGCTACACATTTTGTTACTTGCTGATGCCCCCCATTGCCCCAAAAAAGGCGCATTCTGTATAAACAAAAGTAAGTAGCCGTCATTTTGCCGCACTCCCCGATTTTGTTTTTATACTGCTAATGCTGAAAGAAGACTGATTGGGCTTTCCTGCAAATTTGCACAATTCCTGTTTAAAAAGGGTTACAGAGTGTGTCTCCAGTCCTGTGAAGGAGAGGTGGTGGGGCCTTTTGCATGTCTGTGCCCAGGTGCCCATTGTCTCATAATCTGCCCATTTTCATTTCACCAGCTGTTACACACGAATGCATTTAACAAACAATAATACAAAAAATAACTATTATGAATGAGTTGAATAAAAGATTTTTTTGTGTGTGTTTAGCCCATTGAGCGTTCAGAGCAGTTCATCAAACTGCCAGCTCTGAATGCCATGAATCATAGCTTTCACTCCAAAAATGAATTCTGAAGTCTGGCCCTGGCTTCAGTGGTTTCCTTTCTCCAGCTACCATTCACCACTTAGCCAGTAGTGAAGCCTTTCCTCACAGTAACAATGTAAAGGACTCATTTGCGTTGGTAATGTGAGGAAAGGCTTTTCTGGTCTCAACTCAAAGTGGCTGAGGCATCTCGATAGTTGAAATGTGCCCACAGCAGTTTGTTAAAATATTTCCAGCTTCTACTTTTCTTTACCTCACCCTTATCCAAAGCAGTTTGTTTACTCATAGTCCCTTTAAAATCCATCCCAATTGCAACACGTTGTGTGCTGATTCCAGTCACAAAAGCTGTCTGTTTGTTTCCTTCCAGTGAAACTGTTAAAACCAGTATTAAAACCAGGCCCAGCGCATCCATCTTAAAGTTTGACATTCAGCAACACACTGCCATTAAAGTTTTGTTTTCAGACTTTGATAGCTTTGAGTGTTTTACAAGAGGGGAAATCCTGTTTTTAACAAGTGGATTTGTTTGCCATTCATTAATCAGTGATAAAAGACTTTTCATGGTGAAAATGTTGTGTGAGGACACAGATGCCTTCATGTGCGTTTGCACTCCATCCAGGCAGTTTTGAAGTTTCTTGCCTGCTGTGCGAGGAAGGAAACTGATTGTTTGTTTGTTTATTCAGACGGTGGCAATTTCCCCTCAGAACTGAGAACTGTATTCACCTCTCCCTCTCTCTGTTTTCCAGGTGGACTCTGACTCTAAATGTTGCTGAAGTGGTCAGTCAGTCAGTTGCATGCCGTCTGAAGCTCTGACCTCGCACCTCTCCAGCTGTTGGCACCATGTGTCGTGTTGTCTGTCCGGTCTGATTCCAGCTTTGATCCAATTTGATTCTTGCTGGGAGAAAATGGCCTTGATTCTCTTCATGTCGGTACAGGTCGTCTGTCAAACTGCACATGGTATATGCTGTGTGTATGCAGTCGTCCATATGGGGAACAGATTGGATGTGTTGTTGCCAGTTTACGGACAGCATCTATCTTCTTCTGTTATAGGGGCCACTGCAGTTAAAGTGGGCTTGTTTGTCCAAACTGATAGTCTGGAAGTTAGTTGGTTCTGTTTTGTGATTTATTTTTTTTAATTGGATAATGATTTTAATTTTGTTTTGTTTACAGATTGGGAGCTTTATTTGAGATTTAACCAATTTACAAAATGTCAGCGTTCATTTGTTTAACAGATACGGAATCATTTGCTTTAACATTTCAGACTCAAAAAGGACTTTTATTTTCAAAATAAAATGGATGTGCAGGCATATTTATGAGACTAACTCTGTTTTTACTAAAAAAAATGGAATGGAAGAAAGAAATTGATTTAACTTCATGAGGTTTATTGACATTTTTAATAAAATTCAAAAATTTGGATAGCTACTGTAGATTTATATGATATGATATGATATGATATGATATGATATGATATGATATGATACGATATGATATGATAAGATTCGGTATGATGCAGTACGATACAATATGATATGATACAATACGATAGGATGTTTTCGTATCGTACAATACGATAGGATAGGATAGAATAGGATACGTTGCGTTACATTACGATACGATGTGATACAATACGATGTGATGCGATACGATACTTTGCAATACGATACGATGCAATACAATATACTTTCTTGTCCCTCTGGGGAAATTTGTTTTAGACTCAGGAGCTTCACAAGTATTGATGCCTAACAATAATAGTCCCAAGGAAATGAAAAGCATTCAAAAAAAAAATACTACACATAACAGTATTGCACATCAGCCACTCATGTTTTGCACATAACAGAGCACCATAAGCAAAACACAACATCATTTAAAATGTTGCTTGATTACATAAGAGATAACTAAAAAAATAAACATAAAAAGACACTACTTCCTGTACACAGGCACTTCACACTGCCTTTTCAACCGCCTTTATGTTTTCATGCAGGTGTAAGACATTGCCTCATGTGATGTTTTGATGATTATGGTGAAGCACCCTGTCTAACAATTTGCTCCAAATTCTCCCATGGTCAACTGGGTTGAGATCTGGTGAGTGCAAAAGACACATCATATGAATTACATATCTTTGATACTTATGAAACTATTTATTGACCCCTAGTGCCCTGTGGATGAAGGCTTGGACCTTTTTCATGACAGATGTTTTGACTTGTTACAGCAGGAAAAGCACAGGTGTAATTAGTATCATTAACAAATGGTTCAACTCCATTTACACTTCCCAGTAAGCAAGCCAGCATGCACACCAACAGAGCTCCGAAACTGGCATACCTGCATGGATTTGAGCCACAATTTGGGTTTTTTGTATGCACACTTTTGCCTTCTCTAGTTTGTTAGAAAGGCCTGTCATACCCTGCATTACCCCTGTGCTGTATGGATGCAT